TATAATATAATATAATATAATATAATATAATATAATATAATATAATATATACAATACAATATATATACAAAATATTACAAAATAATATATAATATATATACAAAATATATAAATAAAATATATACAAAAATACAATAAATTAATACAATAGAAAACAGCAAAATGGTAAATCGCGAATATTTTACAAAAATAAAAATTTTGTTCATTTTATTGAAAAAAAAGATTTCCCGCTTAAAAATTTGGATTATAATGATGAAAATAATTTAATCCATCTTTTAGTTTCCAATTCTCTCTGATTTTTGTAGAATTTTGAGTTCATTTTTAAAATTTACAAAATAAATAAAATTTTAATTCGCATTTATGTGAAAATCAAGATTGGAGTGTTTTATGATGCCAATTCTCATTTTTAAATATGAAAATTTTGAAAAATATGCATAAAAATTTTCCAAATAATAGTCAATTTGATCAATTTCTGGGTGGAATTAATTAAAATTCAATATAAAAATGGAATATTAACTGGTAGTATCAATAATTCTAGCACAACAGCAACAGTTTTCAGTTATTCTCATTTATTCCCTATGATTATTGCCGCTGTTACTCTGGTAAAATTTTTTTCTTAACATTCTTAATAATGTATAACAATATTGCGAAGGAAGGACTAACATGTTTTGCCGATTTATTATTTAGTAAACGAAACTTTTGGTTATTCAAATTTTGTCAAAAACCAAGAAATATTTCTGTTAATCCTCTTCACCCTCAGGCATTTTCACGATTTAGCAATTTTAATTTTCGTCGCCTATTTAGGCTCTTTTATGTTGTGTTGGGCAATCATACGAGCAAATTTACGACCCACTTTGCATACAAAAGGGTCGCAAATGTGGTAATAATATGGTCTACAGAGTTATCGACGAAGTGAAATATGCTGACGATGTATCACCTAAAGTGATATGCATTGTGGAATGCACATGCATCAATGAACAGTATGAAAGAAAAAATGGACAGTGCATTGAAAAAAACAATATTACGAAACGAAACGAAGCTGAGGTCTCATTTACATTGAATTTTTGCCAAAATATATTAAAATACAGGAGAATTTTCTTGATTTTTAAAATTTTAACTAACAATTATTATAAAATTATTATTATGTGATAAGTTTAAAAGTTCATATTGATAAAGCGAAATGCAGTAATTCTCGTAACGAAAAGTTCCAAAGGTTGAATGATTACGAAAAAACAGTCAGCCTTTAGCTCTAAGTTAAAATTTTGCCCAAACCCAGCACTGCGGGGGAAGAAAACTGTTCACTTGATGAAGAAATTTCCGATATTCCATGTTCACTAACTGGTAAGATGTGTGGGACCGATATGGTATAGAATAAAGTCACAATAGCAATATGTGCAGAGGCCTGGGTTTGGTTGTTTGAAGGTAATCATAATAATTAATATGGTACTTTGATGAAAATCTCTTCTTTTTTTCCTTTCCTATTTCGACAATCGCTAGCAATTGCATCGTATTTGTTCTGTCGATTTCGAATTGAACTTGAATTGTTCTTATACTTTTTCTATTTATTATGGCTTTCCTTCTTTTTCATATCCATTAGTAGTAAATGATGCGAATATTTGAATTTTACTTTAATTCATTGCCAATTTGTAACTTTCCTAAATTTAGGTTTTTAAAGTTCCATCCATCACCCACTATAAATCTCTCTTTACAACCTTATTTATTTTCCCTGTTTGACTAACTGCATTCTCGATGGCTTTAATCTAGCCGCGGCATTAATATCGCTAGCTTCTCTGAATGGTCATCAGCTCGCCTTCAGTGGCTCTCCTTCAGTGGAATGCTATCATCTAACGCAGAACCTACATCCATTTAAAAAGTAGCTTATAATTGCCTTCTCCAGCACAATATGTTGCTTTTGCCATTTCCACAAATCTGTCTTCACCATCTACATCGCTGCTGCTTAATATAGATTTTTGCTCCTTATAGTTTATCAACTGGGCGACCATGCTAGAAATACGCATACACTCCCAGCATTCGTTGTTCATCCCTCTTGAATTTGTTTTATTTTTTCTTAAATATAAAAGGTTGAAATGAAGGCAAAGCCTGAGAATTGGAGAGGAGAAATCGGCAGCTTGCTAGTTTTAAAATAAAAATCCAAATTATGCCCAATATAAATATCGAAAAAGTGAAAATACCCATTCCTTAAAAATTATAGATTTAATGCGATTTGACAATAGTCGCAAAATTGACGTTGGTTAAAAATCACAATTATTATAAAAGTATTATTACTGTCTTACAATCTAGATAGAAGTACATTATAAACAAAATATTTCAACAGTTAAAAAATGCAAAAGAGGTTCGGTTTTGACAATTTTTCAGTTTGGTCGTGAAATATTGCCTAAACACTGCGCGGGAAGAGTGTGTGCACTTGATGAAGAAATTTTCAATGTTCCGTGTTCACTGACTGGTAAAATTTGCGGAACCAATATGATATTTACTAAAATCGGTAAATTGCTTAAAAAGAATGGCACTGAAGTTTGCTTCCAAAAATGTACTTGTATGAGTGAGGAATATGTCAAAGCCAATGGTCAGTGCATCCTTTCTACGAAAGGAAATGAAACTGCGACACCAACTTCAACCCAACGATCTGCCACCGAATCAAAACTTCAACCAACCATGCGAAAGGTGAGAAATTTACAATTGTTGTTTATTTCTCATGAGAGTACAATATTTATCTCTTGTTCCATTTTATCTTTCTTACTTATCTTTCCTAATGTAATATTGGATGAATTTAAGTCGTTTATAAATAAAAAGTAATATAAGGCTGAACCTATCGAAAATGTTTTCTTTAAATCTTATTTTCTATATAACAAAATATTTTCGATATTTCGGTAGTAATAATTTGTAATTTCAGTAGTTATTTAATAAAACATGTAATTTCAGTTTTCTAAGACTCGCTCTTCTAAGAATTGCGTTGGACGAACTTGCGAGCGGATTCGCGACCTATTTTGCATGCTAACAGATCTGAAGTGTGGCGATAATATGGTCTATAAAACTATTAAACAATTGATTTACAA